TATTAATAATTATAACAAACTAGTGGAGTAATTTCACAAAAAATAATTGAATATCAATTCAATAAAAATTTAATAAACTAGCTATTCTTGACATTCGTCCTCACAGTCTCAAGTTCATTTAAGGGGCAAAGTGTACGCTTCTATAACAAGATTCCGTAGACTTGTGTGTAATAATGAGTGTTTGTATGCAACAAACCTTAGCAGTCTTGTTTAACCATTTACGGACATCCTGTATAAACTGGCGTAATCAAAATATCACATAAACCTTGTCACAACAATATTTAACAATATAATTTATCTTTCTAAGCAATTGCAATAAAAAAAGACAACTTATTTTTAATTAAGTGGATAATGTCCTAGGAAACGATAGTTGACTTTATTAATTGCTACTACTACAAAATAAATGTAATAATTGTAATTATAAATACTACAAGGCGAATTTCCATCTTCAAATTTAATTTAAACATACAACTACCTATTTACAGCCTTTGGAGTCGAAACCCTTGGCCCGTGGGTTTCCGGTGCCCGTCATCTGTATAAAATTTAATCCAAAAAATTAATAGACTGTCTGGGGAACCCAAGGGCCGGCAGTTACCTTGTCCAGCGCATTAGCATAGCCATCCAAAAGGGGAACGCTGCCAGCATCTTGGGCACACCGCCAGCACCTTGCCGTGGGGAGTCAATTTTATTCATAAAATTTAGTTCTAGTTTTATTTTCTAGTACTTAAGCTTTTATTGTACCTTTGATGTATATTATGAAAATATAATATTATGAAAACCTTGCAATTTTTTTATAATATCAAACGATACGGGATAGACGTTGCAGTGCCACTCAGAGCTTTAAATTGCAAAGATCTGAGGGGCCTGTAATTTCACCAGCACCCTTGCACCAAAAAAAGACAATCGTGATTATTATTAGTCATTTATTAACAACAATTATTATTTATATCAACTTTATGATATGATAAGCGACCCGTCCGTCCTGCGCCCGTCACTCTGAAATACCAGCACCCTTACCCTTCAAAACCGGAACACAGTAATGTTTATACTACTGCTTGGCGGCGGAAATAGGTAAGGTGGCAGTACTTCCCTTACCGTTTTTACCGTCTTACCGTTTCTGCGATCAAACTGTGGAATTATCACTCGGAATCAATTCAACATTCCCCTTCTCTTGATTCCTTCAAACAATGTCACAAGGACCACTTCCTCAACTCCTAAGTTTCGTCTTTTCTCCACTATCCTTTCATTTATTTCTTATACTTATACTTCATTTTGCTTTAAATGTATTAATAATATTGGTATGTATGTATATCTATCTACATATACGAGTTTATTTATAATTATTATGTAGTGTACTTATTATATTCTTTGGTTGCACCCCTTTTGCATATCCCAAATTTCTTTCGTAAGGTTGGAAGATATTGCCACATAGCACCTGTTGCACATTAACTTACTATCTTTACACCTAAGTCACTGTATTGTATTTTAATTATAGTATTATGTGTAATAAAGAATATTTCATTAGTTCCCTGGACGAACTTTTTAACAAGGACAGCTCTACTACTATACTGGAATATGAATTCGTACGTTTAACTTAAGAAGGTCATATCTGGAAAATGACAACTTCTCATGAGCGGGGTTTAAAGACACTACGAATAAAATTTGTCGACAACTATTTAAATAGGAGATTTTAAAAGAACAATGGCGAACTTTCATATACAATTTTGTTGACATAATTTGTATGCGTCTGTTTATGAAAAATATGTGATAGTATAGAAGCTAGATTCCCGAACAAATTTGGTTTTTGGTTTGCTATTCTCAGGAGTCTGGTAGTAAAGATATTCCAGTTCGATGTTTAGGTGGCCATATTTTACAACATTGGTTCTGCAGTGTTTCCGGTATGTTCGCGGCGACGGCAACGGATGGTTTCCACCGATCCTGCGCAAGTGCACTGCGTCGCATCCTGAACATCCTGAACGTTTTTACTGACCGGTGGGATTCTGCTGCTGGACCAGTAGATCCACTTGCATGCGGACAAGTACACAGGTGCGTAGCGGTAGCGGTTGAGACCCATGACCCTTGTACATTGTATAGAATTAATAATATATATTTTTAATTTTAATTTGTTTTAGTATATTGAGTTTTCTAATGTTTTGTTTAATTTTCATTTTATTTTTGTGGCTCGTATGCTGTAATATTGGCGAAATAAAATATTTTTAATTAGAATTAGAATAATTGAATAAAATATATTCGGTGTATTATTACGTCAAAATAAACTACAGAAGCCTTATACAGATTTAATAGAAAGTAAATGGCGCTGTGGGTTTGGAACGTGACGAAAGTTGGTGAAAGGCATGAAGTAAAGCCATAATAAAAGACAACTGAGTTATTATACCATGCCCTGTAGGGCAAGCACGACGACTTGCGCGAGAGCGACTTATGCCGAGTTCACGAGTCTGTCACTCGTGTTTTTCGCTTGCTTGCGTGACTCACTTCACGCATATCCAAAGATCTGTCGCGTACGCATAGGTAGGACGGTTCACGAGTCGCACGGTTGCGCCGGCCGCTTGTGTTGCGTTGTATTTCTTTGTATTGCGTGAGTTTCTAGCAGGCTTAATATTTCCACTTAAGCAATAAAGAACCTTTGAGGAGGACAGCACCTCTGGCCAATCACAGAGCAGCAGATGGTTCGAGAGTGTCGACAACAGAAACAAAGGCAAGGGGCCACGCATGCGCGCAGTATCTCGCGCAAAATTTTTCTGTACTGGAAGAAACTGCTACTTAGCAACAATGTTGCCTGTTGCTTTAGCTTATCCTCTTATACATCGCATCACTGGCAACCGTTAGTTGCAACGGGAAGCGAGCGTTCCTACAGCTTCGGTACTTATCTGGAAAATAGGGAGAACCGGATGAAGTTCAGGTAAACGGGCTGATCTGGGGTCAGGACCTGACTGAGAAGATGCAAGATTATAGTGTCCTTATCGTATACCCTTAACGCGATTGCGCACGACTTCCGATTCGTTGTTCCGAATCTGAGACTTTTCAAACAAACCAACGTTTCGGGTCCTTTAGTCACCCGTGACCATGGCACCTGTAAAGGTACCGAAACGTTGGTTTGTTTGAAAAAACAAATATACGCGATTTAAATCCGAAAAAGTAGTTTCATTTCCTATTGTGAAATAGTCCATTATCAGATACCATTTTAAATTGAACTTTGTGTTAATTTATTGAAACTTGCTAACGTCGTTTTATTGCTTCCGCTCAGATATCATTTGGCCTTTAAATTATCTATCGTTCGGGAGGTCTATCACGAAATTTATTTTTTTATGCATGTATACAATACAGACTAAAGTCAACAATTTCAATGTAAATTTTACACGGGCAGTTCAGACGGTAGTCTACAGACACGTATAAAAAGACCATTACCATCGTATCAGCCGGAAGACGTCCACTGCTGAACATAGGCCTCCCCAAAAGGTTGCCAGACTTGCCGGTCGGACGCAACGTGCCATCGGTTACCCGCCGCCCTTGCCAGGTCATCATTAATTAACGAAAGAAGATTAGGGGTTTATTTTTTTATAATATCAAGTGACGGGACGACCAGGTCGTGCTCCTGATGGTAAGCTACACGCCTATCCACAACAGTTGCCGTCCCACTCAGAGCTTTAAATCCGCAAAGATCTGAGGGGCACGGCCACTACGCCCGTCACCCTGAGACATAAGTTGACAAGTCCCATGTGCCTGTAATTTCACCAGCACCCTTACTTACCCTTCAAAACCAGAACACAGTAATGCTAACATTACTGCTTAGCGGCAGAAATAGGTAAGGTGGCAGTACTGCTACTTAATTGTTTATAAGTATTGACGTGGCTTCAATCCAACCAAGATCATTCATATAAGATATTAACTTTCAACAACACTTTTGCACGCGATCAACGCTCAATACGGTCAACATGAACGACGTAGTAGGGAGACCATGTGACACTGTACTCAACAACGATCTGTGTGTCGATTCAGAACCTACGAGAACTCAGTTGTCGACCGATGCCAAGCAGTAATGTGATCATTACTGCGTGGTGTTTGAAGGATAAGAATGCTTGTGAAATTACAGGCCCATGGTTCTTGTCAACTTATGCCTCAGATTGACAGGCGCAGTGGCAGCACCATTCAGATTTCTGCAATTAGGCAGGAGACAGTAAGCTGCGGATAAGTTTAGGTTAAAATCTCAAAAGTACTGTTCTCACAGTACCACAGTACCACAGTACCACGGTACCACGGTACCACGGTACCACAGTACCACAGTACCACAATACCACAGTACCACAGTACCACAGTACCACGGTACCGCAGTACCACCAGTATTTGATATCGTACGATTTCTTTTCATTTTGATTCACAACACCCGAATCGAACGTCAAACTTTCGTATTCGATACCGAACCGAAGTGACGTCACTCCCGTACGATTGGTCGATTTTCTCGTCCGGCAAAGGCTGCAAATGGTATTCAGAACACAGTTATCGAATGGAATTTACCGACCGTCCTATTGTTTACAAAGCAAGAATGTAATATGGAATATCTCTTATTATTTTTACCCAAATTCAAAGCACTGTACCGGCAACACCTACTCTCACTTCAAAAATCTGTGTAGTGTGTTTTTATTCTTTAACGTTCTGTCTAGAAACGAATTTTGTTGTTGCTTTGATCTATTCTTATTATGTGTATAATTATATTACATTACACAACATTAAATCCTCTTTACAGTCATAACTTACACCTACAGCTGTAATTATATTCACATTTGCTCATGCACTTATATGTCAAACAGGTTATTTTAGATGCACTATTTACACTTTACTATGTATACTATTATTGTCAATGTATCACTTTACTCATAGTCGTTATATTTTTGCTTTCTAATAACTTAATCCCTCTCGTTGGTTCTGACTGAAAACCAGCGCCTTAGGAAACTTTGGCATATGCTGAGTCAGCGCCGTTTCACTGCTATGACAATTATGTTTTGTTTTTTCTTTTATGCTAAATCTGTATTTGTGTTATATCAGTGAATAAAGTGTTTATCTATCTATCTATTTTAAATAAAGTCTGGATTGTTCAATTTTATTAATTTATTTTAATGCAAGACTCAATGCATTTCTGTATTTGAAATCTTTAAAGTATTTAAAATGTATATAAAAGGTTTTTAATTTTTCTTATAATCTATTTCACCGACTAGCTCCGTAAACGCTGTTGGATAACAGTATTGAAGCGCCCTTCGATTCGAAAACAATATCCAATTGAACGATTCGATTGAAATATCGAAGAGTTCCGAAGTTCCAGCAACGAAGATCGTGATTTGACATAAATATTTGTTGATACCTTACTCCGAAACGTCAAATGACAGCTATCGTATTGAATTCCGACATTACTTTCATCGCTGACATTTGTGTAGTAGTTGAGCTTCGTTGCGGACGCAGTGACGTAGTAATCGTATTTCGTGGTAGACCTTCTGTCGGTTACATAAAAGAGATCAAAAGATTATGTTAACACGCCGCTTGCGTGAACTTGCTATCTGCCAAGAAACAAAGGTAAAGCCATTCTAAAAACCTACAAATAAACAGGTTTAAAACAATAACATATGTCAAGTCCATTCATATCATGACGTCACGACTACATAGGTGCGTCATAAGCACACTTACATACTTTCACTTTTTATAATAAGTTATCACGGTCACGCGCTAAAATAGATTTATGCGTATGGAAACTCTAAAACGAATGGCGTAACGTAAAGTTTTCTAATTGTAACCGATTTAAAGAAATAGGAGGAGGTTATACGTTCGGCTGTACGGATGTTTTCTGATTTCTCCGTCAATTGTGGACCGATTTTGAAAATTTTTTTTTGTTTGAAAGGGTGCACTCTCGTGGTGGTCCCATTGTCAAAATTCAGAATCTGATGAGGGGATCCCATGGAAATCGAGGAAAATCCTCAAATTTTATAGTCATGTTCGTGTACTCACCGATTTCTCCGTGAATTGTGGACCGATTTTAAAAATTCTTTTTTTGTTTGAATGAGTATACTCTCGAGGTGGTTCCTAATGACGAAGCCGTCCGGGTACGTTTCGGTTATTACAAATTACTATTTATTTTCCGCATATAAAAGGCGACTTTTCACTTGACACAATACATGAAATCATCAAACCACCGTCACCATGACAACCAGAAAAAATGTACAAAAATGTACAAAGGAGTCCGTAACAGTCAAATTATCACCAAGAAGTCAGAATCTAATGAGGGGATCCCATGGAAATCGAAAATAGCGATAAGAAAACTTTTCAAGTTTTTTGTTTTCAATGAAATATTCGCGCTTTCTGTGTTTGAGAGTTGACTATACATGTCTGACATAGTCAATGATTTTCCGCTTTAGGTTTAACTTTACTATACTGTTAAAATTCATATATATATAGTAAGTATATGCAGCCTCCGCTACTACCTCAAAATGCAGTGGTTTTTATTTTATTTATTAAATCGCAAAGACTTTAAAAAGTTTGCTTTTTAAAATAAGCATATAAGCACGCTTTTCAATTTAAGCGTAAGTAAGCGTTGGTCAGCTCTATACTCAACAATTTAATTTTTTTCAAACGTGCTTATGTTTCTAGTCCTAAACAAATTAATTCGTCAATGTGAACAATAATTTTATAAATAAAAATAAAACTCGTGTTTTACAAATAAAATTACTTATCTTAAAACCTTTAATGGTCTACTCTTGCTTTTAGCTATAAACACAACATTGTAAGCCTTTTTAACATAAAAGTCTGCGCTTAAATGTTTTTCTAAACGATTTTGTAAGCTTCAAACTAAAAAGCGATTATGTGAAAAGCGTTTATAAAAGCACGCTTTTTAAAAAAGCACAACGTAATAACATTTAAAAAAATAAGCAGTTATACCCATCCATCGAGTATATAACTCGATGTACCCATCTCTATTCGTGATTTTAAATTTAAATAAAATTCAAAATTTATTTTTATTTCTTAATTTAAGACTCATTACTAAGCAACTGACGTACTTTATTTTTAAAATTA